GAGCCGACAGCACGGACGGCTGGTGAGGAAAGGAGTTGCAAACAATGGGGACAGCAGAGGAGAATGAGAGACCTCCTTCGGAGTAAATAGCAAACTTGTTTTGCAATACGCACACTGAGGCATTACGTCTAAAAAAACTGTATTCATTCGGTTGTCAAATGACAAAGGAAATCTTGAAGTTGAACGGAAACGCTGCCTTGTAAACACTCGGCTCTTCTTGCAGCTGCCGCTTGCTTGGCCACGGCGATGAGGGGGTCCTCCCGGCGCCCACATCGGTGCCTGCGACAGACCCGGCAGAGCCCTGTAGCCACCGAGTGGCATAATGGCTTTTCTCAGTGCCACGTGTTTTACCCAAAATAAGTTAAAATAGACGCTATTTGTGTAAAAAAAAAACACAGCAACAACGGTAATGTGTGACAAAACAACTGTAGCCATTTCCATTCCGTTATGAAAAATGTCACGAGCCTTTCAATCCTTGTAACTTTGCACCTTATTTTCAGAAATACATTGCCCCCCCGTGACCCAGGGCCACCTAAGGCATGTGTGCTTAATGGTATTTCAGCCTCACAGCCAATGATCGCAGTGGCCGGAGAGGTGTGTATTTTGTTTTCGCCGGCTGCTCCATCTCCGGCAGTGGCAGCAGCCCCTCGATTTTTTTTTACTCCCCTCCCGTTTCTTTTTTAATTACGAAAGACCGGGGAAGCAGCGCTTGTACGGCAGTCTCGGGCGGGGGTAGGGGGGGGGGGCAAGGGGGGAGTGCGCTTTGCGCGCGCTGGCTGTAGGGTGAAAAGTCTCGATTGCTGCCTTGCGCTACGACCAAGGGCGAGTTCGGACCAACGCGATATTCATCCCTTTATGTTGTCACTTCTGCGCTCAGGATGCTGCTGCTGCTGCTGCCACAACGGCTTGGCGGTTAGCTCACTGGACTTTTGACGCAGAGGTCGCGGGTTTGACTCGTTCCACCGGCGCGGAGGTTGAAGACGATGGTGCAAGTTTATTAAACTCCCTCCCCCCCTCCCACCATTCCCCACCACCGCCTCTGTCCACCGCTAAGCAGTAGAGACGTGTCCTCCGCAAATTGTCGATCGGTATGTTTGCCTATGGTGGGGTAAAGTGTGGGTGCTCCTGCCTCTTTCAAGATGCCCGGCTAGCATGATGGAAGAGTAGGCCAGATATTCTCTAGAGGAGCTCCCTAGGGCTTTCTCTGGTGAACTCCCTTCTGCCAGCGGTGGCGTGGGCAGCCCATTGTAGGGCTGCACCTATTTGTATTCTGGAAAGTTCCACAATTTCATGACGTGCATTTAAGGGCGCTGTAAAAAATTGCGGGTAATCATTAGTATCACCATGAAGTGTAATTTTTATTTTTTACTCAGGCATAATATGTCAACCAATTAGGGCTGTAATGATAATAGGGGTTTTCCCCCTTCCAGAGACGGCTTTCTTTTGAGCTTCGTCTCAATTGGTGCTAGACCAGAGGACGCCAAAAAGCGTACAACTCAAATACAATGTGACTATAAAAGTAATGAGGGCTCGGGGTAAGCATCTACATAATTAGACCTCCTTTGCCAGTACCAGAATATAATAATAGGGGTTTTCCCCTTTTTTCTGGCAACAAAACTGAAACCTTTTTTATGAAGAATCATGTCTGCATTAACCACAATACTTGTGGTCAAAAATGCAAACAAAAAAGCCGTCTCTGGTATGGACCAATCAGTTTCAAGGACAATGCGTATATTATCAATGTTTTTTCGTTTGCATTTTGACCACAAGTATTGTGGTTAACGCACACATGATTCCTCATAAGAAGGTTTCAGTTTTGTTGCTAGAAAAAAGGGGAAAACCCCTATTATTATATTTTGGCACTGGCAAAGGAGGTCTAATGATATAGGGCTGTAATGTTACTCACTGGCTACTTATAGGTAACTGTTCACGTGCCAATAAAAACAATGGTTCATCCTGAATGTTTTTTTTTCAATGTAATTCTCATCAGGTCCTGTGGTGTAAAGTTCAGTCTCCAACCCCTTGTGTCTGCTCTGGCGCTCCGGCCGCTCTGTGTTGTGTGCTCTGAAGAAACACCATTGCACGAAATGTCACCTCTTTTATATATTTTTCCCCCTTTTAAGGCGACAGGATTATTGACGAATGTGCCGAGCTTTGTTCTGTTGTAGCTGCTGTTGTTGTCTGTGCCTGTGCACCACTGCCAATGCGGCAGCACCAAATAATTGTCCACCTTCCTTGAGAAGAGAGAAATTCCGCGGTGTTGGACATAGGTCACGCTCGGACGGCGTTGGAGCACCCTGTTTGGTGTGCGTGGATTACCTTTGGCTTATTACATAGATACACTGTACATGCCAATTCTATTGATAATTATCTTCCAAATTATACCCCATTACAATGAAACACAAAATCGGGAAATGGCCCTCTTATGAAGAATGTTAATTTCCTGAAATGTCACCTTTCATACTACTTTCCTTTTAGGGTGGCATCATTGACAAACGTGTTGAGTTTGTTTATGTTGTTGTTTGTGCACCACAGTCAACGCAGTATCCCAATTGTTTTACTTTTATTACGAGCACGAATTTGGCGGTTTTACTTCGAAGTCGTCTAATTTGAATGTATGTTGAACTTATTTCGCACCGTACATCGCCAACCGTGCTAATTGGACTCATGCTATGGGGTTAATTTAAGGTTTGCGATTCGTAAAACTCAGGCGTGTCTGCCGTCTCCAAGCTTTGTAAAATCCATGTTGTCGACTCTCCGATGTTCTCATCCCACGCTGCCTCCCACTTCACTCTGTGAAGCATGCCTTGTCTCCTACCTGCAGGCAACACCCAACACCATCTCCGCACGGCACTCACGTCTCCGTGGAGATGCACCCTAACCCAGAAGTAGTCGTATGTGTGTTGAACTTCTTTCGCACCGTACGTAGCCAACCGTGCTAATTGGAGTTGCGTCCGGTACGTGCAACCTGTTACCGTTAAATTACTATTGTGCGCATAACGTGCGGCTGGTTAGCAGTGGCTGACCTGATGAAAGAGTTGTAAACTTTCGAGAACAAAAATAAAACTTAAGAAGAACATGGTATTCTTAGTTCTTTCGGTAAAGTCACGTTGAAGGGAAACAACAAAATAATAAAATATATATAAAACAATAAAAATTCTCACGACGTTTCGACCATAACACAAACCAACACACCTGAAGAAGACCGTTTGTGTTATGGTCGAAACGTCGTGAGAATTTTTATTGTTTTATATATATTTTATTATTTTGTTGTTTCCCTTCAACGTGACTTTACCGAAAGAACTAAGAATATGAATTACTGCAGTCACGAAAGCTTTAAATCAAAAGAACATGGCAGTGATAATAATGGCAGTTATTAAAAATCAGAAAAAGCCTCAATGAGCGTCAACTCGTTTTCAGGATGGTCTCACATCGGGACGTTTGGCCAATTCCACCGATGAGAGTTTTTTTGGCGCGTGGTGGTAAGCAGGAGGACTCGGAGGAACCCCGGGGCGCGTACGAGCCACTGCCATCGGCCGGCACCACCACCACCACGCAAGCCCAAGTCCACGGCAGCCGGTGGTGATCACTCATCCGGTGGTGGTCACCCATCCAAGCTCGAACTCGCTTCGCTTCTGGAACCCGTGAAGATGGGGGGGGGGGGGGTGGAGCGCATCCGGGGCGAGTTGGTCAGAGGCATTTGCCTTCATATTCAACGGGCGCGGCTTACGGCGCTTATTTGCAGTGCGTGGAATTTAATCTCAAGCTGCACCGACGCATGCCCGACTCTCTTCCGACTCTGCTCAGTCACAATGCGCAACCATAATGCCGTCGGGAAATCAGCCACTCAGGGGGACATCGCGAACGTAGCAAGCCAGGTTCTCCGCTCTCATCCCGAGGCGATGTACAACCCACCACCCCACCACCACCCCCCACCAGCCTGCGAGCTGCCTCATTGAGTGAAACCTTCGCAACAATAGCCTTTAAATTCCTGCCACGGTCGAGCAAGACTGACTGTTGCGTCTCGTCCACGCTTTCCACGTTCCACCGCCGGCACTTGCAGGTCACGCTCGGCGCTGCTCTGGCGGCGTCTCTCCTCGCGCCCCGCCACCACTTTGGAATTCCCGCCCTCCGTCGTTGCTTTTGTCACCAGGCTCTTATAAAAAATAAAAAAAAACCTTATCGATTAACGTAACACGCGTTGTCGACCGAAACTTCAACTGTGCGGTTTGTTGCTGGCCACTTGCTGTTTTCTTTTTTTGGGGGGGGGGGGAGGGGAGTGGGGGTGTCATCGATCCGACTGCCAACATTGTAAGTCTTTCGACGTCTGATTTGACCACGCTAGTCTTGTTTAAAAAAATAAACAAAGAATTATAACGAATCATTTGCCAGATTTACACCCCCCTCCCCGCCACACACACAAACTGCTTGGATTGACACTACTTTTTTTACGGCAAAATAATTAATCGAGTCAACCACGATAACGATTAATTAAACATTGGATTTGGCAGCGGTGCCAAACACACACTTACAATCGTCAATAACATTGTTGAGCCTTATAAGGGGAAAAACACATAAAACAGGCGCCGTTATTTGTATATATATACATTGTTATATATTACATACGTATTTCCTTTCAAGCCAGTGTTTACAATAATTCCGAGAAACGTTACTGGTTGTTGTTGTTGTATAGTTTTTTTACCCTGAGCGGCTCTTCGTTTTAACGCCATCAACGTACACAACGTCGCAGGGTTGTTTATCACACAGCAGAGTATGCAGGAGCAGTGGATGTTGAATAGCATGCCATAGAATGTAGATGATCTTGTGTGTGTGTGGGGGGGGGGGGGGGGGGGGTTCTTGCCAGACAGCGTGTTTATTTTTTTCTCTCTAAGCAACGGCACTTTAGCTGTGAATACACCGGGGACTCTATCCCACACTTGCACGGGATACTGCTGTCATTTTCAATTGTTTCTAAAATTCTACTTGGTTGGGGGGGGGAAGGGGGGGGTAAAACATTTTTATTAAAGAAACAAAAAACTCTGCAATAGAATATATGAATAGGATGTACGACTCAAGGACTCAAGGACTAAAGGGGCCCAACTTTGACGTTGCATTTAGACTTCTTCTCGCGACCACGGCAAACCAAGGGCGTTCTGCGTGACGCTGCTATCTGCAACAGAGGTGCAACAGCGTGGTCATTATTAATCATCCAAAAGGATGGCATCGTCTCAGAGAGACTTCCCGTTGGAGGTGCAGAGGTGCGTGAGCGATGCCAACTCAAATGAGAAATAGGACACGTCGGAGACGGACGCGCTGTGATGACACGAGCGAGCGCGCGCGCGCGTGCGTACACCTGTGCAGAACATTGCACGTGCTTCTGATTTTCTTATTAAACCGAAAACAAACAAAAAAATATTTCTGAAAACCTCGCCTGGCGATGACATTTCGGATGAAATATTGTTGGTTTTAGATCGATCCACGTCCGTGCTTCCCCCCCCCCCCACCCAAATTTTTTTTTAAAAATCAAACATCACGTGGCATGGGATGACATCACTATTGTTAGCACGACGCATCCGGATATCACGATAAAAATATACAAAGTTGCGGCAAAAAATATGAATATCTTCAAATGTTTTCATTTCAAACTCATCCCGACAAAGCAGAAACCCACAAAACATCAGTTAAACTTTTCTACCCGCAATCCTTTATTTAAATTTCTCTCCCACCCCCCCCCCCTCCAAAAAAAATCAAAAATCCTAAATTTTCTGCGCACAGAACACGAAAGAATCGGCACAGAATCAAGACAAACTCAAGCTCTTAACAGCGACTCCAGCGTCACCAGCAAGCATGGCCAACACAGCGGAGTGTCTTCCGAAGACACGTTACCTCTGGGCCGCCGTCAGAAATTCACACCTGCCCCCCCCCCCCCCTCTCGAAGTCTCACTGACAAATTTTGTGGCCTGGCTGGCGTAAAACTCAATCATAAATCATAATTCCCCAGCAAAGGCCTCCCCTGCCAGAGTCGGAAAATAAAGTGTGTTGCCTTTATCGATTTTTCTTTGTCAGGGTATCGGGGAGAGCTGTGAAATATTTGTAACCGAACTGCTCAGATATTCATAGAATGGTAAGTAAACGTTGGGCGCACAGGCTGGGTTTGATGTATTGCGGGTCACGATTATAAATTACGGACATAACAGCGGATGGCAGAATGCACACCCCCGGGTAGCTATGTATTGATTTCCTTCTTTTTCTCTCCCCACCTTCTCCCCCTCCCCATTCCCCTCTCCCTCTCTAAACCAGTTTAGTTCCATAAAAAATACGAAACGATATGGCCTGTCCTGTAGCCATTCCCTTTATAGAACTTTTGTTTTTTTAGATTTTCAATGTTTCTTTGTGTTACGAAAGAATACATACACACGCCATTAAATCCCTCGAATTTTAGAGAATGTGAGGCTCGTTACACGTTGTTTTTTGCCATACAGCCATCGCTATTATGTTTGCAGGTACTGCATGGACATCCTATAGCGTGGAGCGGTGGAACAAGTGGTTAGCACACTCAGCTATGAACCAGGCAGCCTGAGTTGGATTCCCAGCCACAGCTAACATCAATAGCGAGTGATATCTGAACCACAGGACCTGGCCTACTCTTTCTTCACAAAACCTTTCACTTACCACCGTGACCGACACGGCATGGGCAGGCCTCCATCCAGCAGTGGATTGACAAAGGGATGAATCATATGATCACATACGCTCAAAAGATCTCGCTTTTGTTTTAAAGAATACGTTAACGACAAGACGTCAAGACATGACCATCACTTGTTGAGTGTTCGCACTTTGTTTTAATGACAGCATTAAGGAAAGAAATTGCTCAACGTTAAATGTAAAAAAAAATATTCTTGGTTCTTTCGGTAAAGTCACGTAGAAGGGAAACAATAAAACTGATGATGATTGTTTGTGTTGCAGTCGAAACGTCGTGATAATTTTGTTGTTTTATATTTTTATTATTTTATTGTTTCCCTTCTACGTGACTTTACCGAAAGAACCAAGAATATGAATCCCTGCAGTCACGAAAGCTTTAAATCAAATGTAAAAAAATACATTTGATGATCTCCATTCATTAACAGCGGACTTCAGAGAGGGTAGATATATAGACTGCTTGTGCATCTATACTGCCCCAAAGCGTTAATTCACCTTGAACTTGCTGCGAGCTTAAGTCGCTGAATGTTAATTGAAACAAGGCAGTCGTGTCAAATGTAGTGACGTACCAATGGGTATCCCACAGTCAGCCGGTGAAATTACAAGCCTCCAGCAGTCCCTTGTCCAGTTCCCAAGGGGGTTGATTTTCACCCCGTCGGCTCTCCGGCAGGGCTGTCCGACGTTTCGCTCCCACATGCCGAGTGCTTCTTCGGGAACTGAGCGAGAAACACATCCGGTAGTGATGAGAGAGCCACACGGTCGGAGGAGAAAAGACTCCCCACACAGGATTCCCAAACAATGCCATTTAATTTTGTGACGATTTCAAATCAAGAATCGATTTTTTTTTTCGTTCAATCATGCGGCTAAGGCTAGCAAAGCTCCAGTGGCTGCAGGGGCGACTACGAAATCGAACACTTATTTTATTGATCGCTACGAATCGATCAATCGTTCAACGGCTGCAGTCTTTTTATACAACTACATTCGCGTAATTTTTTTTATTTAAAGCTTTCGTGACTATAGGGATTCATATTCTTGGTTCTTTCGGTAAAGTCACGTAGAAGGGAAACAATAAAATAATAAAAATATGAAACAATACAATTGTATTGTTTCCATTCTACGTGACTTTACCGAAAGAACCAAGAATATACATTCGCGTAGTTGTATAAAGGAGTCCCAGTCGAGTGTACAGTGAGGGAAAAAAGTATTTGATCCCCTGCTGATTTTGTACGTTTGCCCACTGACAAAGAAATGAGCAGTCTAGAATTTTAACGGTAGGTTTATTTGAAGTGAGAGACAGAATAACAACAAGAAAATCCAGAATAACGCATGTCAAAAATGTTATAAATTGATTTGAATTTTAATGAGGGAAATAAGTATTTGACCCCCTCTCAATCAGAAAGATTTCTGGCTCCCAGGTGTCTTTTATACAGGTAACGAGCTGAGATTAGGAGCACACTCTTAAAGGGAGTTCTAATCTCAGCTTGTTACCTGTATAAAAGACACCTGTCCACAGAAGCAATCAATCAATCAGATTCCAAACTCTCCACCATAGCCAAAACCAAAGAGCTCTCCAAGGATGTCAGGGACAACATTGTAGACCTACACAAGGCTGGAATGGGCTACAAGACCATTGCGAAGCAGCTTGGTGAGAAGGTGACAACAGTTGGTGCGATTATTCGTAAATGGAAGAAACACAAAATAACTGTCAATCTCCCTCGGCCTGGGGTTCCATGCAAGATCTCACCTCGTAGAGTTGCAATGATTATGAGAACGGTGTGGAATCAGCCCAGAACTACACGGGAGGATCTTGTCAATGATCTCAAGGCAGCTGGGACCATAGTCACCAAGAAAACAATTGGTAACACACTACGCCGTGAAGGACTGAAATCCTGCAGCGCCCGCAAGGTCCCCCTGCTCAAGAAAGCACATATACATGCCCGTCTGAAGTTTGCCAATGAACATCTGAATGATTCAGAGGACAACTGGGTGAAAGTGTTGTGGTCAGATGAGACCAAAATGGAGCTCTTTGGCATCAACTCAACTCGCCATGTTTGGAGGAGGAAGAATGCTGCCTATGACCCCAAGAACGCCATCCCCACCGTCAAACATGGAGGTAGAAACATTATACTTTGGGGGTGTTTTTCTGCTAAGGGGACAGGACAACTTCACCGCAACAAAGGGACGATGGACGGGGCCATGTACCGTCAAATCTTGGGTGAGAACCTCCTTCCCTCAGCCAGGGCATTGAAAATGGGTCGTGGATGGATATTCCAGCATGACAATGACCCAAAACACACGGCCAAGGCAACAAAGGAGTGGCTCAAGAAGAAGCACATTAAGGTCCTGGAGTGGCCTAGCCAGTCTCCAGACCTTAATCCCATAGAAAATCTGTGGAGGGAGCTGAAGGTTCGAGTTGCCAAACTTCAGCCTCGAAACCTTAATGACTTGGAGAAGATCTGCAAAGAGGAGTGGGACAAAATCCCTCCTGAGATGTTTGCAAACCTGGTGGCCAACTACAAGAAACGTCTGACCTCTGTGATGGCCAATAAGGGTTTTGCCACCAAGTACTAAGTCATGTTTTGCAGAGGGGTCAAATACTTATTTCCCTCATTAAAATGCAAATCAATTTATAACATTTTTGACATGCGTTTTTCTGGATTTTGTTGTTGTTATTCTGTCTCTCACTGTTCAAATAAACCTACCATTAAAATTATAGACTGATCATTTCTTTGTCAGTGGGCAAACGTACAAAATCAGCAGGGGATCAAATACTTTTTTCCCTCACTGTATGTACATGTATGTATGTTGGACTTCTTTGGCACCGTACGTAGCCAAGCATGCTAATCTGAGGTGCGGGGGGGGGGGAAGGACAACAAACTAAACACTCGAACGTTTTATTTACTACCAAATGTCGGGAGTCATTCCGTTCTTGCGTCTCGAACTCCTCTTGCCGGCTCCTCTAGATTAGCGTTTCGATGATTTTACCGCTAACATTTTCCTCATGATGCTTCGTTTAATTATTTTACCGCTAACATTTTCCTCATGATGCTTTCGTTTAGATTATTTTACCGCTAACATTTTCCTCATGATTCTTCGTAATGATTATTTTACCGCTAACATTTACCTCATGTTAAGCCACTTCGTCGATTTATCATTGGCGGCCAGGTCGCTTCTGAAAAAGAAGCTAATAGCTCAGTCGGTCAGATATTTTTTAAAAAATAGAGTTTAGTTTTCTTTGTGTATTTTCTTTTTAAAGTGATTTGTTTACCTTTCCTATACTTTGCACTCCTATGGTATTTTTGTATTGTTTGTTGTTGTAACGTTCCGACCTTCGCCTGTGACAAAGAGCCCTTTATAGCTCATCGGACTCCTCCAATATAAATACTTGCATTCTGATTAATTATTTGAAACCTCTTCTCCACTCTTCCTCGAACATGTTATTTATGTAGTTTATTGTTACATTGCATTTATGGCTTCATTTTGGTGATTTCGAAAACATTTTTTGGTTTGGCCATGTTTGTTTGTTGTAGTACGGAGTTAGACTGATGGCCTTAATCTAAGTTGTCTTGTGGTTGTTATTGTTGTTGTTTGACTTGTATCCCACTGGGATTCTTGCACACATCGTTGGTGTGCGGTGCTTTTTCAGGAATATTTTGCTGTTTTTTTTCCTGGACGATCCGTTTGCACAGTCACATAGTCACTTTAAGATGTTTTTTTCTTGTTCATGTTTTTGTTTGTTTGTTGCGGTTGCACCCGATTCAAGAGCCGAATGGCTCACAGGGCTTTACCAAATGAATGAAACTGAAAACTGAAACTGAACGTTCTCTTTCTCTCAACCAATCCCCTTCGATTTCCCCTCCCCCCCCCCAAACGAGACCTCCAACCAACTCCTCATTGGCGCTTTCACTTTCCGCGGGCTTTTTCAAACGAATCGCTCCGGCCAATCCGACTCGAGCGTGTTTCGCCGCCCTCCAATCAGATTGCGCGATCAACACGTTCGGCTCTTCAACGTGACAGATGGCCAATGGGAATTGAGTCCATTATTTAAACTAACAAGTATCGTTCATTTGCTGTAACTTGCGTAGAGTTCGCCTCTCGGCGTCCCTTGCAGTTTTTTTTTTTGGTCCACAACATCAGCAGGCCCCCGCGTGAGACTGCGTGTACTCTGAGCAAACAGGAGGAAATATCCAGCCACTGCTGCGGGATGGATCAGAATCCTCGACAGCCACGTAACCTGAGCTATTTTTTGTAGGAGACTTATTTTCATCATATTCCTCCCCCCCCCCCCCCCCCCACACCTAATTTTTAATCTGAATGTTCTACCGTGCTGATCACAAATCAACCACAACACCTTACAGGGAGCATAAACCGCCACGCAAACTCCTGCCAGCCTCGAAGCGGCTTTTGGCTGCAAGCCATCGAACAAAGACGGTGGTCACGGCATCGCGCGCTTTCAGATGCGCTTCTGCGGCCGTCTGGAACACTCTTCCTTCCTATATTAGGAAGCCACTAGAACTGTGCACTTTTAAATAATCTGGATTGAAAACGTATTTCTTTAAAACTACTTTTTTGTATTTAGTTTGTTGTCCTTCCACCGCACCTTTGATTAACACGGTTGGCTATATACGGTACGAAAGAAGTTCAACATACGTACATAGAGGTGACCAGCCCGAGGAAGAGGTAATCACAAAGCTACCTCTAGGATCCCTACAAAAGCAGAGCCGTCCGTAGGCTGGCTGCTGGACCAGGGACATGTTCCACTGTGTGGGGCCCCCAACGCCTTCAAACTAAACCGAAAGTGTTACGTCTGACACCGTGACGCCGAAGCCCCCCAATACACGGGGCCCGGGGCGGTCGCCCCCTATTCGCCGCACCCTCACGATGGCTCTGCCTATAAGTGACCCCCGGTCCACCGTAATAATGGGCAACGCTTTCATTCTCAGAGCTGGAATATAGCCAAATGTATCCAAATTAAGTGCAGAACCAAATTTAGAGCAATGAGTTGTTTTTATTGCGTACAATAATTGGTGACCGCAATGGGACTATTGACTCATTTCACTTGAGCACGTGGTCCACTCTCACATGTGACTCACACACTGAGATCCTGAAATTTTTAAAACCAGGATCTCAACAGTGCCAGCTCTCTTCTCTGAACCCTGACACAATCGGCCACCAGAACCTGATCTCTCCGACGACCAGCCCTGATCTACCACCTTTGACTGCAGACGTCTGACCGGAACGAGACTCGTAAAACATATGTCAAGCCGCCGTGTCAGCCGTAAAGAGCTGTGTGATTTCCTCGTTCCAGCTCTAACTTTTAACAGAGGCTACTAGCCGGCCACTTCTGTCTACAGTCGCACCACCGTGCCACTTCTAGCGATCTCCAACGGAATAAATTGACATTGACTTAGGTGTGCGCATCGGTGCGGTTTGCACGCATTTGCGCAAGTGTGTGTGTCCTGTTTGGAATTCACGTCCAAACGTTATGCAATGGGAATTTGAAACGCACGGGAATTATAACGTGTTTGGCCAAATGGGTGTCATCCCAATTTAAACGTGGGTCACGAAGTTTGTTTTGTTTTATAATTGTACGCACACACATCTATCGCTGCTCGTGAGATTCTGCTCAGGACATTTTTGGGATGCAGCATTTTTGGTCAAAAGAAAAATGCGGTCCTCTCATTGCCTGCATTTGAGCATCGGTTTGAACTACAAACTTA